TCCCCGTGCTCCGGTATCTTCCCAGCCGCTCCATGAGTTTGTTTAAAGATTTCAATAAGCGATTCCTCCATTTCCTACAGAAGATTATCAAAGAGCACTACAAGACCTATGACAAGGTAAGAGCTTGCAGGACCTTCACCTGCACCAGAGATGTGTCCTGCCCTCTGCCCCTCTCTATTTTCTTCTTGCAGCCAAGCATCAATGGACATCTATGTTCTTGCAGGTATTGCTGCATTTAGCAAGTCCAGCTGTAGTCTCACTCACCTGTAGTCTCTCCATGTGCAGTCCAGCACTGCAGTCCTCCTTCTCCTCCACGGCCCTGTGTGATAGGGCCAGTTTGTTGGTTGAACATCTGATCTGTGCCACAGGTTCCCTGGAGAACCATCCTCTCATTTTCATAGGTTGCAAAAGCAGCAGGGACCATGGGGCTTGAAAGATTTATGTTCTCCAGAGCTCGTATGACCCTGGGCTCCCCCAGCATCAGGTTGTTGCTCAGTAACACCCATTCCTCTGCTGGTGCTGCTGCCGTGACTTGTCTTCCCTTCCTCTTAGAACAATATCCGAGACATCACTGACTCCCTCATTCAGCAGTGCCTGGAGAAAAAAGTGGAAGCAAATACTGCCACGCAGATCCCTAAGGAGAAGATCGTTAACCTCGTGAACGACCTCTTTGGAGCAGGTATCTTTTCCCACCGGTCCCTCAGCTACTGCAGATTTTCTCAGGCTCCTCGTGTTATAGCTCTGTCTGACCCATCTTTGTCCAACACCAGGCAGCCAGTTTAGGTCTAAGCGCTCATTCTCCTGCTTGCTGGTCTTCCTGGACCTTCCAGGGATACCCCTAGAGAGCAGCATGGGACGTTAGCTCTGGACAGAGGCTTCAGGGAAAAGCGAAGGGCACAGCTTATAGCTCAGTCAAGCCTCACAAGCCAGGGTGGCTTTTCCTGGTTGAGAGAGATGTCTATTGACTGATTCATCTTTGAGTTACTCTGTGGAAACTCCCCCGATTCCAGAGAAGTTATACAAACCTGACATAACCCAAGGGTGAATCAGGATGAACGAGAGCAGAATATTTTAGCAAAGTTTTCTCCGACAGGATAGAAACCCAAGTCTTACTGTGTGCCCAGGATGTCCTCTGCCTTCTTAGCCATCCATCTGATGGTTAGGAGGCAAGCCAAGGCACGTGCCCCGCAGGTTGTACAGACCTCATCTGCACGCTTTCCTCTTTGACCAGGCTTTGACACCGTGACAACTGGCCTGTCCTGGAGCCTCTTGTATCTCGTGACGTACCCCAACATCCAGAAGAAGATCCAGGAAGAACTAGGTGAGTCCATGAGCCCGCTGCCTCCGGGGCCAAAACCTCTCTGGCGAGGGCTGACCCCACCCCGCTCCCCCCTCTCGACCTGCCGCAGACCAGACCATCGGCCGGGAGAGGAGACCGCGGCTGTCGGACCGAGGCACGCTGCCCTACACAGAAGCCTTTATCCTGGAGATGTTCAGGCACTCCTCCTTCCTGCCCTTCACCATCCCGCACAGGCAAGTGCTGAGGTGGCAAAGGAGGTGGAGGGACAAGGTGGGCTTGAGGCATCTTGCTACAGCCACGCCGCCAGCGGTGTGGTGAGAGGCAGGGAGATTATTACCGACTTGTAGAATGATGGCTTCATCATGGACACGGGGAGCTCGCAGCTCTTGTGGGAGCTCCCAAAGAGCAATCCTTGCCTTCTGCTGACTTTGCTGAAGATACTCCACCCAGCTCAGGTAGGGGTTGCCCAATCCAGCTCACGGACAATGCAACTGCCCCTCATAAAGCCATCTCTTTGGGCCACATCCTTACTTCAGCAGCATCAGGAGCAAACTAATAGTCCCCTGAGGATGCAGAAGAGCCTTTTTGCTTCCCAAACTCTCACAGTCGTTTCTCTCTCCAGCACGACCAGGGACACGGTGCTGAATGGCTACTACATCCCAAAGGACCGCTGCGTCTTTGTCAATCAGTGGCAAGTGAATCATGACGAGTAAGTACCTTCAGAGGCAGAAAGCCTCCTGAAGCGACATGCAGGCCCTTTCCTGCGCAGTTTTCTTCCTGGGCAGAGGTGGGGTCAACCTGCTTTAAGAGAAAAGGGAGCAGGTGAGGTATCTACTAAATTCAGGGATATTCTTCCTGGCAGCTCCCCCTGATCCCTCTGAGCTACCACCTTCCAGCCACCATCTCAGCATCTGATGTTTTCCCTTCCAGGAAACTTTGGAAGGATCCACTGACCTTCAACCCGGAGCGTTTCCTCAATGCTGAAGGGACCGAAGTGAACAAAGTGGATGGGGAGAAGGTGCTGGTTTTCGGTCTGGGGAAGAGGAAGTGCATTGGGGAACCCATTGCCAGGTGGCAGGTCTTCCTTTTCCTGTCCACCTTGCTCCAGCAGCTGGAGTTCAGTGTCTGCGACGGCAAGAAAGTGGACATGACGCCGCTCTATGGACTGACCCTGAAGCACAAAAGGTGTGAGCACTTCCAGGTCAAGCAGCGCTTCCTCATGAAGAGCATCAGCTGAGCAGCGGGCTTATCCATTGCCCAGACATCGCCAGGGGGCAAAGACTTGGGTGTCTTTGTAGCACAGCCGGGGCTGGTACAACTTTATGGGATGATAGAGTAAACTGAAGCCATTGAAACTCCCATCTTATCTTCACTTTGTAGCATTTCTTGCCTTTTTCATTTTCCAGCATTTCTAGTGTTGGATATTCCATCAAATGTTGGGTGTTCCGTCACATCTAGTCACAGTACCACAAAGCACTTTATGGGGTGTGTGAACTGTCTTTTCCTAGAGGGAAAGGGAATGTACCCAAAACCAGACCATCCGAATACCGTCGGGCTGTATTCTTTCAGAATCGCTCTTTGATAGCTGGAGGACAGCCAACCCATGCCATGTTCCCACAGCCTCCATCGATGTTTAAGATCTTGGCTGAGGTGATGCCCCAAAGCTTGGCTGGAGATGAGGATGATGTTATTGAGGTCCAGCCGGTATCGCTATTGCCAGACTAATCAGGGGACAAATTTTCACTGATTGAAAATTACCTTCACTGTAGATGTGTCTGCAGGGAAAAAAACCTTGGAAATCTTGGAAAAACGCTAATACTTCTCCAAGTCCTCTAAGGACAAGCTGTTCCCTTGTTTCTACACTATGTTTTTAATTGCCTGGCTGACTTGTCGTGTCACTCTAAGATCCCATTCAGGAGAGATTTATCTTTGTCCAAAGAGAAGCTCAAAGCACTTTAGTGCCTCTTGGAGAATCTGTCAGACCACCTTGCACCAGGGGTTCTCCTGCTGCTCAGATTACTTTCTTCAGAAAAATGAAAGGGATCCTTCAAATGAACAGAGCTGGAGGAAAGCCTCCCTGGAGGGACCAGTGTGTGGGAGGACTTCAGCCACCTTAACCCGCATTCACCATAGACCCTGCTGGCCCTGATGGACACAAGGAAGGGCACCTTTACCCCCTCCCTGTAGTCACTGTAGTCACCAAGTGTTTCTACGCTGGGCCAGTGATGGCTGTGTCTTACCATGACTGCGATGGCTGTCAGTCCCACTGTGCACCTGGCACGAGTTCTGCAGTCCACCTGGGGTGAGAAGGTCCACCAAGCCCAACAGACAGTCCCTTGCTATTGAGAAAGTCAAGCCGCTGGTATTCTGGGCTGGAGCAAGGGTGTTTTCACAATGGGGCAGAGAAGGAGAACAGGACTTTCTCCAACTCAAACCCAAGAGTTTACATTGGCTGCCAGTCAGCCCATGCCAGCAGAGCCACATGCCTCCTTTTCTTCAACTTGCACGCAAAGACATCTTAGCCAACCCAGTACCTGGCAGGCAATGATACAGGAACAAGTATAATCATCCGGTACAACACGCACTGCTCTTGAATCTGTTCCCATGGGTGGCAACTGCTCAGCCATAGCCCCAGACCCTGACCAATGAGAGCTCCTTTCAGGTCCGAATACCAATCACTCATCATGCATTGCACAAAAACTTCCAAGAAGAAAATGGGGAAGCCGATTGCCCAAGACTTCAGGGAGATTCCAGCTAGAGCAGGGAGGTGTTCAGACCCGCTAAACAAGCCTGAATGAAAAGGAGTAACTCCGTATGTCCAGGTCCTGCTTGGTCACCAATTTGTGACGAAACATTGAGACGATACAGCCTCAGCCCACCTGACTTCACTGAACCAGCCTGAGCACCCTCACTCCGTGTCACACCAGCTTCATCTTCACCACTCAATGTCATAATCCCAATATTGCAGGAAAAGCCAGGGTGAGGACTGGGAGGTCCAAACCGTGGTTTGAGCTGCAGGCTATCAGAGGCCTTGGAGGAAAAGCGGAAGGATGGTGTAGGACAACCCATGAGGTCCATCAGCCAAATAACATCTCCCCCACCTATGAAAAGGGCCATAGGTCAAGGCAATAGAGTCATGAACCACCCTTCCACAAGGGACATCCCAAAGCTGGCATTCATCTACTGCCGGGGAAGGTGGGATCATCCTGGACGTGGATCTGGGGCTCTCAGGGCCTAACTTGGTGATTCAGAAGAGCACCAAGATTGCCAGGGACTCGGCAGCAGTGTGCCACACCATCCCCGTGGGGTGGAGAAGCTCTCATGGACTTGGCCCGGTGACTCCAGCTGCAGTGGGAACACGCGACGCTGATGCTGGTGTGGGACCAGAGGCCCCGTTTGCTGGAGCCATTGCGTGACTCTCTTGCCCTGAAGGCTGGCTGTGTTTGCTGATAAGGCCCGCAATAAGCAAGGGCAGATACAAAGAAAGAACAGTGGGAATTTTTTTCCCTTTGGAGATGAGTGTTTTATAGCCCCAGGGCAGATAAGCAGATTAATATTAACATTACTGAGGTGAAACAGCCCCTTGTTAGTGGAAGGTCTCCCCGAGATACATTTATCAAGGGCTGATTGCCTCTCCTGGGGACACCGCTGCCAGCCTCCATTGGGTACGCTCTGGAGACCAGAGACCTGGGAGAAAAAGTCACCCCAGTGTCAGGATGGAGAAGGCGAAGGGAAGAGGCTCGAGGGGAGAGGAATGGGCAGGCGGTTATCGTTCCCCACGCAGCCCTTCTCTTCATGGTGTCGGAGGCAAAACACCCCACTTTATAAAGCCCCATATTCATTTGGCAACTCTCCTTCCCCCTGATGCCCATGGAGACATCCCATGCAGCTGCAGAAGACCTTTCCGGGCAGCTTGAACAGTCAGGAGGACCCTGGTCTGATGTCCCCGCATGCACACCTCTCCTTGGACATCCCGGCCCGTTCAACAGTCTGGTGACCCCAGGTGAGGTCCCACTTTTCTTGCTGGGCATCCTGCAATCAAACTGTCCCTTCAATCCCAGCCACCCCGATCCCAGGCCCAGGCATCCTGCCTGCTCCTGGACAGTACGGTGGGAACATCAAAGCTGAGCAGGCTCCTTCACCAGGCGTTTTCTCTGCCAGGTGTCTTGGCAGCCCCCAGCACGCAGGAAGGAGAGCAGCGAGCATGGCCCCAGCATCAAACAACATACCCCAGGTCTGCACTGCTCTTTGCTCTGCTGCCCAGCTGCACCCCCAGATCCACCCACCCACCCAGGGACCCTCTGCGAGGAAGGGACGGGGGCACCCTGCTCCCTTCGGGGATGCAGGATCTCAGCTCTTCACCTCCTCCTCTTCCCCCTTGCCTCCTGATAAACAAATCCATCGATCATTGTCATGAAAGCCCCAATTGCTCACAGTAGGTAAGGTAAGCTCCCCTATCTTTGTCTTTTCCCTAACGATCTTCCTCAATTAAGCCCTCCAATTACTCCCCAGGTAGCTTGCAAGTGCCGTGATTTCATTACTGGAACCGGGGCGGTGATAAGCCAGGGGAGCTTTTATCACCCCACGGCCAATTGCTTTTATTGTTGGTTTTAAAATGAGTCAGCAGACCAGCCACGGCAGCTGGGCTCCAGCTCCGCTTCCGAATGG